AATTGGTTAATTGTCTTAATGGATTGATTTATAGGGGACCATATTTGTGAATTGGAAAGCTTTCCTCTGTCAATCATCCTTCCAATCAGCAGGCCACTTTCACTCAACTGCTCAAAACTGACTTTCATTTTTGAATCTTCAAACCTTCTTTGGTTCCTCTTTCTGAAGCAAAACCAACTTCTTCAATGCTGCCACATGTGCCCCATGATCTCTAACACTATCTTTAACAAAGGAAAATATTTTACTAAGGCCTATAACTGCTTGCAACCTCCTTTGCTTCTTTAAACCTTTATCTTTGACCCAACTCCGCTTTTAAACCTCGAACCATATCATCACACAATTTCCCTTTGTAACTAGTTAATTGTTCCAGAGATGTCCTCATTCCTTTGTGGCATTTGAATCAATTACACAGTTGCTTGGTTATCCTTGTTGTTTGGTTTAAATTGTTGTTTAATCCCTGTCGATTGGGAATAAACATAATTTTTACTAATAATTTTTGGCACGCCCAGTAGGACAACATCCCAATTTGTAACAATGGAAAAGACAAGGCATCAAAGCCAAACGAATGGCCCTTCTATACTACCTAGTAGCAGTTTGGTTCCACAATTAAAGGAGGCTCTTGCATCTCTTTCAGTTGAGGAAAAACAGGTGTTGGTTGGTGAGTTAAGAAGTGTTATTGATGATTTTTCTAGAGGGCAGTGTCAGACAAGGGTGGAGGTCCACAAGACACCTTCAAATGTTGATGTTGTTACTCCATCAATTGTCATGGTTGCAAAAACAGAAGGCCATGAGAATCAAAATTCCATGGCAAGGGGACAATTTCACAAGGAAGAAATATTTTTGGGGTTTGCAAAAAAATATTTCTAACCCATTAATGTGTGAAACAAAAAATTAGCCCTTTGTTGCAACTCTTAGTCCAGAGAGTAATACAAACAATTAGGTTAAAAAGTGTGATCTTAAGCCAACTATGGCTGAAAATTATGAATAATCAAATGTTCATGAATTTGAAATCTTTGACATTGTTCAAGATGTGAAGTATGAGTATTAAGGTCCACCTTATGCTGTGGCTTTTATTATTCAAAGTTCTTTTTGGATTTGTGGACCACATCAAAGTTTGTTCTTTATGAAATGGATAGCAAAAGAACAAAGTTCAGAAAGTTATAGAAATATATTACCCATTGTGATTTCTTGACTAGCCAATTTCAAAGTACCAATAACTAAAACAATGTGATGTCCCAAATATTTGCTTTATAGTTTAGAGTGTCTGTCAACATTGGAAGGTTATTGTGCTCCAACTAATAGGCCAATTCTTGTTGAAGTATTTTCTATGGTTTAAACACTTGGTTTATGTATTGCTCTCTCGATTGTGTAAATACACTTTCAATTGAAGTAATCTAGCACCAATTTAAAAACCCATACATGGCCTACATGGACTACATATGTGAAGGATGCACAACATATTTATAATATGGCCTTTGGTGGCTATCTTATTAACATGTGCTTATAATAATCATTTTTTATTTGTTAGTAAAAAAGATGTATTTTGGTGATGATTTCTTGAAAAATCAATTTTATATACAACTCTTTAAGAATTCGAGTCTTCTCATTCTTAAAGAGTTGAGGGGCATTGTTTGCACCATTTTCTAAAATTCCTATTTACAGGTGGATTAATCGAATGATGACACGTGGTAGTGAAGTCAAAATGAAGTCTTTCAGCAGTCAAGAGGCTATGTGGTGTGAATGAATTGATCATGTGCATCAATTGGTTAAGAAGGTCATGAGCTAGTTATCAATTGGTTAATTGGCTTGGGACTGATTTATAGGGGACCATATTTGTGAATTGGAAAGCTTTCCTCTGTCAATCATGCTCATTAATTGAAGGGAAATTGTGTGATGATGTGGTTAGAGGTTTAAAAGCAGAGTTAGGTCAAAGATAAAGGTTTAAAGAAGCGAAAGGAGGTTACAAGCAGTTATAGGCCTTAGTAAAATATAGTGATTCCAGTTTTGACCCATAATTGGAAAGCTTTCCTCTGTCAATCATGCTCATTAATTGAAGGGAAATTGTGTGATGATGTGGTTAGAGGTTTAAAAGCAGAGTTAGGTCAAAGATAAAGGTTTAAAGAAGCGAAAGGAGGTTACAAGCAGTTATAGGCCTTAGTAAAATATAGCGATTCTAGTTTTGACCTATTGCTTATTGTATTTCAGACTCGGGTTGGTATGGTTTTGAATGATTATTTATCTCTTGTTTCTCTTGTCTTCCCCTTATCTTGATTATCGGGTTATAATCATGCATTTGGAACAGGTTGGTTGCTTGTGTTTTTCCCAAACCAGTGATGCCCAGATTTTGGCTCTTCAACTCGAGCAAGCATTCTTGCGCTCGAGCGGGCTTCACAAATTTTGCTCCTTCGCTTGAGCGGCCATTCTTGCGCTCGAGCGAGATTTGTCAACTCTCACTATTTTTGCAGATTTGCAAATACTAGGGAAGTGCATTGGACGCTCGAGCGTCCTGTTTCATGCTCGAGCGGGAGTCTTCGCCTGCAAAACTTCTGGAAGTGTATATTCCACGCTCAAACGTAACTTTTCACGCTCGAGTGGACTACGTGTATAACAGCCCATGAAGATGATGTTTTTGTTCACTTTTTCACTTCTCTCTCTCTCTCTCTAAAACTTTCCAAAAACCTAGATCTACACATTCTCTCTCTAGAATTCACCTTCTTTCTTTGATTTCATCTAGATCCATTGATCTGTTCACCCTATTGCCTTTGAGAAAAAGGTAAAGCGCTTCAAGATTTTCATTTTGATCCAAATAGAAGTGGGTTTCGGTGTTTTTGAAGTTTCATCCTTGCTTGGCTCATCTTCTCTCTTTGAGGTAGGGATTTTCTATACTTTGTTATGATTTTTAACTTAGTTATTTGTAATTGTGTAACAATCGTGGGATTTTGGAGTATCTTAAGCCAGACGTAGGGTTTGGGTGTAATGTAAAAGAGGGGTTCTTGGTGGAAACGAAATAAAAGAACATGGGATTTGAAAATGAAGTCATGTGGTGTCAAAATGGTTGATTTTGGTACTTGGATTGATATTTTGAAAAAAATGGATTTTGTCCTAAAATGATTATCATAATTATTTTATATAAATAATTGAAATTGGTATTATAAACAGGAAATTGAGCGAGTATTGGAATAGATGGTGAAATCAAGTATGTAATACTTCACATCTTTGGAAATTTTGGATAATTTATCTATTTTGAGGTTATATATCTGTTTAGAAATATCTGTATTGGTTTATCGGTGGAGGATAGCTTGAGTGTTGTAGAAACTGCATGTGGATTAGGTGAATTGAAACTAATCTTTTGTTGGTTGTCACTGAATATGACTATGATTATATACATTGCATATGTATGATTATTTAGGAGAAGAAAGGGGATGTACTCCATGTGTAATTATGTGCTTATATACATTGCATATGTATGATTATTTAGGAGGAGAAAGGAGATGGACTCCATTATAATTAAGTTGGCCGAAGTGTCTTAGGTGAAAGTCCCAAAATTATACATGGGTGCTGATCCTGAGAACGAAATATCCGTAAAATGAAAATTTTGAAATTATACATGGGTGCCAATCCCACGGACAAAATATCCGTAAAATAGCAAATTTGAAATTATATATGGGTGCCGATTCCGCGAACGAAATATCCATAAAATGGCAAGATAGAAGTGTTTGTGTGTTAATGATGTGATTGTGGAATCTTTGAGTTGTAGTCTCATTGGGGTATTGAAAATGATGGAATTGGCTCATGTATTGAGATGAATTGGGGAAAAATTAAATGAAATATGGACTTGGTATTCTATGACTATATAAAATGTGAATATTTTATCCATGGCATTGCTTATACATCTTGCACTTATATCTTTGTTAAACCTCATATACTGTGTTAGAATATTTCTACTGGGCTGTGGTTCACCCTATTTGAAAAAAACTTTTTCAGGTAATGATGGTGTGCCTCAACCAAGGGAATAACATGGAAGGGACTTTTGGAATCAAGAGGTTCTTTATTTTGACTATGTATTTTTGTATAGCCAAGGGCTTTAAATGTAAGAGCTAGTCTCATTTTTATTGTAACCAAGTCAGGACTTAGAAAGATATAAGCCTATAGGCCATTTATTTATGTTAAACTCTTTTGTATTATTATTTTCGTGCAATGAAAGGGCCTTACACTCTGATTGATGTAATTGTTAACTATGCTTTGGCTCATATTTATTGTATTATTTTGGGGGCATTACATAAAATATTTTCCTCTGTCGAAGATAGTGCTAGAGATCATAGGGGACATGTGGTAGCATTGGTTTTGCTTCAGAAAGAGGAACCAAAGAAAGTTTGAAGGTTCAAAAAGACCATGGCAGTTTTAAGCAATTGAATGAAAGTGACTTGCTAATTTGAAGGATCATGGGGCAGTTTTAGGCCCAATTCGTTCTTTTCAAAATTCAAAATTCAAAATTAAAAAAATGAAGGCATGGCTGAGATTTGGGCATTATAAAGGCAGCAAAGGAGCAAGAGAGGGTTTGGAGAGCAGAGAGTTTTTTTAATTTTGAATTTTGAATTTTGAAAAGAACGAATTGGGTCTACCCGATCATCCCCCAGACAGTCGGCCGGTTGACCGGAATAGTGTTTTTTTTTTTTTTTGGTGGGCAATTGCCACTTGTTATTTGGGAGAGAGGGAATGGGAATTTGTTTTTGATTTTTTTTAACAAAAAATAATGTTTTTTTTATATTTCATATAAAAAACATTTTTGCAATTTTTAAAAAAAATTTAAATAATTTTTTTTTATCAATAATTATTTTTTTGGAATTGAATTTTAAAAAGAGTTTGGTTATGAACTTTGAATAGAATTTTGAATTGTGTGTTTGGTTATGAGTTATAAGTTTATGAATTTTTCTAATTTAAAAATTCATTTCAAAAATTTAAAACTCAATTCAAATCTCTTTTCAAAACTCATACCCAAATAAATTTTCTCTTTTCAAATAATAATACAAAAACTCACAAACTCAAAATACAGCTCCACATTCAAATCATAATTCTAAAACTCTACCAAATGCTACCTTAATTTTGCCAATACCTCTCATTTCCCACTTCTATTGAGTATCCCCCTTCACTGTGACTCGTTCAACTGCCAAAAAAAACCCATTTGAAGAAGGCAGTCACTTCTTACAACTAATGTTGTCTCAAAATTCATAATGATTCCTATCAAATGACGGCCAAATCAATGCAAGAGCCAAAGACCGCAAATCTGCTACAACAATGGTAGCTGCTAGTAGTAGTAGACCCTTTGTTGCACATCAGAACAAGTGTGTGCCTGCCATCTCTCCCTCGAGATCTAGAGCATCACTCAAGCACTCCTTTATTATGTACCTCTCCTCGCGCGTCTTCAAAAGTTCCTGTCTCTTCTTTTCAAGTGCCTATTTCTTCTTTACAAGTGCATTTTTCTGTTTCTTGTTGTCAAGTGCATGTTTCTTCTTTTCAAATGCATGTTTCTTCTTTTCAAGCTCTTTAATAGTTTCATCCAGTCTGGTGATGATTTGCTGCAACTTATCTACCTTCTTCCGCGTACTATTAGTTTCTCCAATTTTTTCAATAATGGTGAGCTCTTTAGAATCTTTGACTACAAGTTGCTTCGCGATTGGGACCACCAGTCCAGTAAGATTAAGGTCTATAGGAACATCATGATCAGCTTGGAGACCAAAGTGAGCACGAACCAATTTCGCCAAATGGGCAATGACAAACTTAATTTTGAAGTCTGCATATTGAGCAAGAGCGAAGGAGTGAAACCAAGTCAAAAGTAAACTTGTAGTTATGTCCACAGCCTTGGTGTTGCGCATGCTATGTATAGCTTCACATACCATCATTATGAATAATGTATTTACCTTCTTACTTAGTCTCGATCTATTACTGAAGTCTTCATCTTTGAATAATAAGTCTTTAAGGATAGACACTTGGTTCTTAAAAATCATGTAGTTTCCATCCTTTATAATTTTTGATGTGGAATCCCAATTTTCCCAAGGCCTTGAGACTTCAACTTCAAAAACAAACTTTTCCATCAAGGTCGCAGCTGTACGTATTTTGTTCTTGTCCTCATCATCGTCCTTGTATAAAGATAGAAAGATTTTTGGATGGACGACACGTTCTTGAAGATCCCTTCTTTAAGATTCGAAAAGACCATGCACTTCGTTGTTCTCATTCTCTATAAATGAATCTAAAAATTCTTTTAAAGTCAATGCAAGTGGCTCCTGAAAAGCACCAAAAACACATATTTAAGATGCTGACTTTTTGAATGAGTTAAGTAATACCAAAAGCACAAGTTCAAAGAAAATAAAAGAAAAAGAAAAAGAAAATGGGGATGTGAAAAATAAAATTTTAGAAAGAGCTTGAAGATCGTAGGAACTTTCACCCAAACGATCAAAGTAGAAATAAGATATTTGCCGATAAAACACTTTTAAGAGCAATATCAGCAGAAGCAAATTTTACGTCAACATTTTCATGCTTTGACCACTCTTCTTCCAGAATGTGTATGATCTAATTATCAAGATAAAGTAAAGTTAGAACAACTCAATAAACAACTGAATAGTAAAGGGCAAAAAATGAAAAATGGAATTAAATTATTAAAACAGAATTACTTCTCCACATTGTCCATAATTCTTTTGACACTTTGAACATTCACAAGAAGTTTGATAGAAACTTTCGGGAGTTAATTTTTTAACTGCATCTTGACCCCAAACACGTTAAATACTCAGAAAGGCGAAATGTGTCCTGAACTTGAGTGGAGCATTCTTTTGACAATTTGTTTAAATGCTCTGTTTCACATAAATTAATGAAAAATGTTCATGCAATTTTACATAAAATTGGATTGGAGCATTCCGGTTTTTTCTTTTTTTTGGGGGGGGGGGTGTAATGTAGTAACTTTTTATTAATTAAAATAAACATTAAAGATGAAAAATAAAGATGACATATTCTTAAGCAATCAGACATCGATAAAACTCACTGAACTGCTCAAATATGCAAACCAGCAAAACAGAGAGGTTGGTAAGGTGCCAACTACCGACAAACTCCTTGAACCCACTAAACAGAGCATCATCCTTGCTCCTCAATGTAAGATTTAATAATACATGTAACCATAATAATAATGCGGAATTAAATTTAACAGGATCTTGAATTCAATACAACTCAATAATAAAACGAACATACCTTTGTCAGCCATTGAATTAGAGAAGTTGAGAAAATACCCCTAATAGTTGAACCTTGAATTCTTGGCTCACCTTCTTCTCTCTGTCTCTCTTAATTAGGATGACTATAAAACTTAAAGTGATGAAAAAATACTTATGATATGAAAGAGGAGTCATCCATCCTTATATAGAGGAGAGAAGAGGGCCAGAAAAACTCTATCAGAATAATTCCTAATCCATCAAGGTTTCCTTCTTATCTTAGAAGAGTGATTATATTAAAATTCTAATTACTGAACTTTATATATAATATTGGCTTTATCTAATTGCGGAGTCCAAATAAAATAAAACATGTAAAAATATGTAGGCTATTAGGTCACACTAGAAAATAAATCCAACATTCTTCCACTTGGCCCATTAAGCCGATTATGATGCAATTATGAGTTTTTCCAAAAAATATGCAACTTATAAAATATTTTGACTCATTGGATTCCACACTAAAAACTTTGACACGTGATCACGAATTTTAAAAATAGCCAATAAGTTCAGATATATTAGAAACTATAATACTGTGATTACTTTAGATCACCAATGTGAATCATAGCGGTTATATAACATTTATGTCATATTTCCTTTTATGCACTACACCATTGATAACCTTCACCAACTTAGTCCTTTATCGAGATATATAATTATTTCCTGAAAGGCCCCTGTAATTTGTCTTGTTAAGACATTCCCTGTTTATCAATATTCAAATTAATGTGTACACACACTTTTAGAAACAGGAAAAATAGAAACAAAACTATTATTGCGCAAATAGTGTCAAATAAAAATAAGCACTCATGATTAACCATACACATCAAGGGTTGCTTAAAAGACCCATCCTAATAACATGCTCTTTGTATGCATTTGGTGGCAATCCCTTTGTGAATGGATCAGCAATCATAAGAGAGGTGCGTAAGTTTTCAATTAACACTTGTTGTTTCTGGACTCTTTCTCTAACAACTAAGTACTTTACTTCTATGTGTTTGGAACCACTGGAGTACTTTCCATTCTTAGAGAAGAAAACTGCTGCGGTATTGTCACAATATATCTTCAGCGGCCTGGCAATTGAGTCAACAACACCAAGTCCTGAGATGAAATTTCGCAACCATAAAGCGTGATTTGTAGCCTCAAAGCATGTGGAATGTCCTTCATTTGTTTTCTTTCCAAGTCATTCCTTGGACACTGTTTTGCACTTCATTTATCACCCTTCGTGATGGGTGCATCACCGGCTGAACAAAACTGCATATTGAATCTCTCCAAAACACGATCAATATATCCTTTCTGAGATAGTTCTAGCAATCCTCGAGATCGATCCCTAAAGATCTCTATGCCAATAACATAGTTTGCCTCACCCATATTAACCATTTTAAAGTTCTTGGAGAGATATTCCTTGGTTTCATGCAATAAGCCAAGGTCATTACTAGCTAACAAAATGTCATCCATATATAGCACCAAAATAATGAACTTGCTTCCACTAACCTTCAGATACATGCACTGATCAACTGCATTTTCCTTAAATCTGAAAGAGATAATGGTATCATTAAACCTTAAATACCATTGCTTGGAAGCTTGTTTAAGGCCATATATGGATTTCTTTAATTTGCAAGCTAAATGTTCTTTACCTTTCTTTGCAAATCCTTCTGGCTGCTCCATATAAATTTCTTCATCCAAATTCCCATTTAAAAAAGCAGTTTTCACATCCATTTGATGCAACTCTAAGTCATAATAAGCTACCAATGCTAGGATGATTCTAAGCGAGTCTTTCTTAGATACTGGAGAAAAAGTCTCTGTATAGTCTATGCCTGCTTTTTTAGCAAAACCCTTGGCAACAAGTCTGGCTTTAAATCGTTCGATATTGCCTTTTGCGTCACGCTTGGTCTTGAAGACCCATTTACACCCGACCTTTTGGCAGTTATTAGGCAATTCGACGAGATCCCAAACACTATTCTGTTCCATGGATTTTAACTCTTCATTTATAGCATTGACTCATTTAGAAGAATCATCACTATTTCATGGCTTGTAAAAATGAGACTGGATCTTTGTTAATCCCAATATCAAAATCAGATTCCTGTAGATACACCATGTAATCATCTAGAATGGCAGGCTTTCTTTCCCTCTGAGATCTTCTCAGAACTACCGGTTGTGGTGGTTCTACAATATTTTCAATGGTGGTATCTTCATGAAGTGGTGAAACATGAGATGGTGAAGGATTTTCATTATGTTGTTTGTTTTCCTCAGCCTGTGGAATAGTCTGAGGAACAACAATTTTTCGATAAGGGTCAAATGTTGGCACATCTACCCTAATTTCCTCGAAATTCACCACTCGTGTTTTTTCACTCCCACTAATTTCACCATTCTCTAGGAATCTAGCATTACCAGTCTCCACTATCCTCGTACTGTGATTAGGACAATAAAATTTGTACCCTTTAGACTTGTCTGGATAACCAATGAAATATCCAGATATTGTTCTTGAGTCCAACTTTTTCGCTTATGGGTTGAAGATTCTTGCCTCTGCTGGACAACCCCAAATATATAAGTGTCTCAAACTAGGTTTCCTACCAGTCCACAACTCAAAAGGAGTTGTTGGGACCGCCTTACTAGGAACCCTATTTAAGATATACATTGCAGTCTTTAAAGCTTCACCCCACATTGAAATATGTACAATTGAATAACTTAACATACTCCTAACCATATCTTTAAGTGTACGATTATGCCTTTCAGCAACTCCATTTTGTTATGGCATACCAGGCATTATATATTGAGCACAAATGCCTTTCTTTTCTAAGAATTTGGCAAATGGGCCAAGATTTTGGCCTGACTCATCATATTTACCATAATATTCGCCACCCCTGTCTGATCTCACTATTTTAATCTTTCTATCTAATTGTCTCTCGACTTCAGTTATGTACACCTCAAGGAGGTCAACAGCCTGAGACTTTTCATGAATTAGATACATATATCCATAACGTGAGAAGTCATCTATAAATGTGATAAAATATTTTTCACCACTAAGACATGGGATAGTGAGTGGCCCGCAAATATCTGTATGAATTATCTCAAAAAGCTCATTACTTCTTGTGGCACCTTTCTTAGTGTGTTTGGTTTGCTTTCCTTTAATGCAATCCACACATATCTGAAAATCAGTAAAGTCTAGGTTTTCCAAAATCTCATTCTTCACCAATTTTTCAATTCTATTTCTAGAGATATGCCCCAACCGTCTATGCCACAAGATTGACGTTTTAAACCAATATTCGAATGCAGAGTTACTAATGATTGTGCAAACTCATGATTTAAGGTAATTTTATATAAACCATCACATAAATTACCAGAACCAATCATTTTTTAATTAAACATTAAATTGAGTTTTGCACAATTAAATAAAACTGAATATCCAACACGATCTAATTTGGATAACGAAATTAAATTCCTAGAAATTAAAGGAAAATAAAAAGTGTCTTCTAGATCCATCTGATGACCCGTCTCTAAGATCAGTCGGTAGGTTCCTACAGCTACGACTTCAGCTTTGAGACGGTTCCCCATATAGACAAATCTTTTACTTTCCTTCGGTTTCCTAGTTGAGAGGTATCCCTGCATGTCATCTGTAATGTGAGTTGTGGCCCTAAAGTCAATCCACCACGTATTAGAAGGTACTTTAGCAAGATTTGATTCATAACAAACAAAAGAAAATTTCTTACATTTCTTTTCGAACCAAGCCTTTCGTTTGCTGCAGTCTTTCTTCACGTGTCCCTTCTTGCTACAAAAGTAGCACTTGACAGTGAAACCATTTTGAGCCTGATTTTCTTCCCCAGGTTCATTCTTTTTCTTTGGTGGATTTTTTCTTTGATGTTATAAACTTACCCTTCTTTTTTCTTTTATAGCTCAATGAGTTACAACCAATGCAGTTTGACGTCCTTCCTCCCTCAACCTCACTTCCTCCTGAACACACATATTAGTCAGCTCATTCAAACTCCACTTATCTTTATTGGTGTTATAGTGGATTTTGAAGGCGCCGAACTATGATGAAAGTGAGTTGAGAATAAACTGCACGAGGAAAATTTCATCAACTTGCATCCCTAAAGTTTTAAGTTTTGCAGCTTTGTCGCCATATTGAGGATGTGATCCTAAACTCCTCGGTGACCATTATATTTCATTGTTGTCAATTCAGCCATAATAGTGCTAGCAAGTGGGTTGTCGATCTTCAACAGCCTTTAACCAAATTTTACTTTAAGCGTTAGGGTAACGTCACTAAAGAGTCCTTTGGTCAATAACCAAGTAAGATCCCAGGAAGGTCGGAAGAGTCAATAAAGTCTCCCTTCTAAGTCCAACCACCTTAGATAGCAAGCTATATTTTTGACAGATCTTAAGAGGTATTAAGACAAGATCTCATAAGTAACGCGGAAAAAGGCATAAACAATACATATTAAAGCTTTGAGAATTATGATGAACTACTGATATCATATAAGTCTTTCCTTTGGGCAAAACTTAGGTATATCTATTGTCCACTCGTCAAGAATCACTTATGTAGATCTAAAGTAATTTATGCAATTTTTTAGCTAGTCATGTTACCTTTGGGTATTTAATTCTAATATGTCAAATTAGATAAGTTACATTATCCTACCCAGTTCATAATTATTTTAAAGTGACTCTCCTTTTGGCTAGTCTCGATCTCCTAATTATAACTGCAATTGAGAATATTATCGACCTTAATGTTACCCTTTTAACAATTCTTTTATGTAGTTCTATATTCATAAGTTTTACAAATCTAGGCCACTTTGGCAGCTACTAAATTAGTAAACCTTATGAATACGAAACTAACCAACAATATTCTCTATTCATTAATTTGAATTATTTAATTATCATTAATTCAATCACTATTTTAATGAAATCACTATTTATAATTTCTAGAATTTCTTTTATGTGATTGCAATTACCAATATGATAATAATAATAACTCTAGATAAACATGAATATATATATATATATATATATATATATATATAAATCAAAATATGGAATATGATAATCATGAATATCTCATGTAATGGTTAATAAGAATTACACCTAATACGAATTAACCAGTTCAATATTTAATATTTAATGTCATAAAATTATATCATGATATCAATTTTAAATCATGAAAATATATAAATATTAACAATAATAGACAATAAATGTGCATAATTAGACAAGGCAAAAACATAATCCTCTAACATGATACAATCAAATAAATATATTTATTTAATAGACCGAACAATCCAGCAAAATTCTAAAATTGCTTTTAATCTATGCACTTTATCATAACGGCAAGCAATACAGTCAATTCAATATCATATTATGATGATTATAAAAATTATTATCTCTAAAATTAATAATAATCCGAAGCATGCATGTATACATATAATTGAGACGTAAAAAAACGAAGCATGCATAACCACGACGCAAGGCTTTATAAAACTAGGCCACGTTTAAATCATATTATAAACTGACCCATTTTTAATTTAATCGACCCAATTTTAAATCTTTTAAGTTTTAGCCACGTAAAATTACAATAACCGCTTTAAAAATTAATATGATTATTTTAGCCAAAACTTTACATCCCAAATATGATTTAAAAATTAATATCGATAATAAAAAAAAAACAAATGTACCATTTTATGAATAATTATAATAATAATATTTATAAATATATTATTATTCCAAAGTGTATTGATTCAAAAATCTGTGGCTCTGATACCACATGTTAGATTTAATAATACATGTAACCATAATAATAATGCGGAATTAAATTTAACAGGATCTTGAATTCAATACAACTCAAGAATAAAACGAACATACCTTTGTCAGCCACTGAATTAAAGAAGTTGAGAAAATACCCCTAATAGTTGAACCTTGAATTCTTGGCTCACCTTCTTCTCTTTGTCTCTCTTAATTAGGATGATTATAAAACTTAAAGTGAAAAAAATACTCATGATATGAAAGGGGAGTCACCCACCTTATATAGAGGAGAGAAGAGGGCCAGATAAACTCTATCAGAAGAATTCATAATTCACGAAGGTTTCCTACTTATCTTAGAAGAGTGATTATATTAAAATTCTAATTACTGAACTTTATATATAATGTTGGCTTTATCTAATTGTGAAGTCCAAATAAAATAAAACATGTAAAAATATGTAGGCTATTGGGCTACACTAGAAAATAAATCCAACACTCTAAACAGGCAAAATAGATCCAAAAATACGCAGAAATTGAAAATTGAAGCAAAACCAATTAAGTGTTACGAAATAAACCACTCAGATGCCAAAACCTTCAACAAAAAACTACTCCAAAAAAGCACCAGCCACATTAATGGCTTCTCTCCACCCTTATGAAGCTCATCAATAGCCTAAAAGTTCATCCATCAAAATCTTAAAAAAAAAAAAACACACAGTCCAAATTAATTATAGAGTCCTTATCCAACACAAGAACTACATTGCCTATTGAATGACTTATCTATAACCCTGTCAATTGCTTCAACAAATAAGGTTTTAGAGACAAAAATTTAAGGACGAAATCACCTTTTGGGAATGATATGTCTTATGTTCAATGACAAAATTGGGCATGGCATTTAGTAAGATCAATGGAATCCCTGTTTTAAATCAAAAGAAAACTACAGGATCTACCTACCATCTCCACTACCACCCACCACCTCCACTACCATCCACTACCACCACTCACCTACCTCACCTACTCCCAAATCCTCTCCTATATAATAGCTTGTAATATACAAAATATACACAACAATCTTGTAATACAAATCAATAATACATCATTTATAACAAAAAGAAAACTACAGGATCTTATACTAAGTCCTTCTTTATTGGTCATTTTGATCAATTTTAATTTGATATGTAAAACTCAATGCAGACATACCTCAGATACCACGCAATGAGGATGCGCAATGTACTGGCATCCATCCGTACAATAATAAGTTGGTAGCGCTAGATCCCTTCTTCGTTCACAAGCGTCACAGATAAACTCTGAATCATCATCATCATCCGGACGATCTTTCCTTGGATGATTTGTGAAGGTAAGGGTATGGACATGATTTTTGTATCTGAGGGTAGGCGGTAATGCTGAAATACAATGGACATGGTGATTGACATTGCACCACACACAACGAAATAAAGGGAAACAGGAGTACTTCCTACAAGTACTGCAAGTCATTTTATAATGTGACACATCGGAGATTAAAACAAGAGGGTGGCGGTGAAATTTAGTCCTGCGCATAATCGTGGGCATTGACAAGAAAACACATCTAACGTCCATTTACCATTGACAATGGGAACATTCGTAGTAAAAACCATAACAATAATTTAAACATACCCCACATTCCTGGTTGCGTGGGTATATGCATGACTTAGTCGATGGTAGTGGAGGGAAAGAGTGTGCTGAGGGTGAAGGAGGTGTTTGATGATTCCTGAGGCAAATTAGCACACTTTTTATGAAGCAAGACACCGCATTCAGGGCAAAAATAGATGGAATCCTCCAAGGGCAGCAAACACGCATAGCAGGTATAAGGAAGGTTGTCCTTATTGTGGCAGAGAACTAGGGGATGGAAATGGGTGAATTGTTGAATCTGAGTCTGACGTGCCGGTTTCAAACAAGCACAATGAACGTCTACAACAAACTTGCACTTATGACAGTGGTAGGCGAAACCGTCCCGCCTCTGGCAACAGAGGCTGCAGATGAACTCTCGGTCATAAAAGCCAGATCGAGATTGGAGGAAGAGAGAATGAGAGGAGTGAAACGGGTGCTCGATTTTCCAGGGCATCTCGGCGCAAGAATGGTGGAGCAAACCCTTGCACTGTAGGCATACATAGAGACAATCTCCATCAATAGTCAAGCTGCAGCAAGTGCATTTATAAGTCAAATTCTTATCCTTATAGCACAATATCAAGGGATGAGGGTGATTGGGAAGCTGCGGCTGCTGAAATTGAAACTGAATCTTCTTCTTCTGCTGGTGGTACTGTTGTTTGTTGTTGTTGTTTTTAGTAAGGAGAGCGCAGTTGACATCGAGGATAAAAGCAGAGTCCACACACTTGTAGGCGAAGCCTCCATAACAATTGCCGCCACAAGCATGGCAAAAGTTGGTTCGACGGACTTTTTCAGAAAGGAAAAATATGTGGAGAGGGTGAATGGGATGGTGATCCAATTGAAGTGGAATTTCAGAGCAGGAATACTCATGGATGCGTATTTTTTCAGGGCAGAGATTGCAATGATAAAAGTTGGATTCAGAGATTGGTTGTTTGCAGATGCTGCAATTGTCTTTACAGTCCTCGCCTTTATCATTCAGCTCCAGTTCATGCATGTGTAAGAAATGCTTTGACATTGACTTCGTCTTCCTCATCGTCGCCTTTTCTCTCTCTCTCTCTCTCTCTCTCTCTCTCTCTCTCTCTCAAGTCAAGACTCGAAGGTATCCGATGAGAACCACAATGCTGTGGCGCGGCCCTCAGAGTTTTCAATTTATATGCATATTTCGCACGTTTGACTTTTCATTTTAGGTTAAATTACAATTTGCACCTCAATTGATCCCTCACCTTTCAATTCTAGCAATTAAAGAGCCTGTTTGGTGCAATTTTTTATAAGTTAAAGTTGGTAATCATAAATCAGAAGCTAAATTCCTTCTACAGCTTTTAAATAATTATTTTTTCGCAACTTATTTAAACTACCTATGTCTCATAAGCATGTTACACCAAATACTCTATCACAAACTTCAAGAATAAAAAAATTTATAAACAGTTCAAATAAATTGTGCCAAATAATCCCAAACTCAATACATCTTTAGTCAAGTACCAATATTCTCCCCCTCCATATCCATCATAGAGATTAACAAAAAAAGAAAATTCATTGCACGACACATGACCTAATTTTGACGTGGACATGTGACAATGTGTATAATTTTAAAGGAAAGTTACCTATGTGATTCTTATAATCTATTTTCTATGTCAATTTGGTCTTTACCATTCTAATTGTATCAATTTTTTCCTTCAAATTTTTATATTGTATCAATTAAGTTGATGTTTGATAAAAAATTAGACAAAAATTAAACATAAGATTGTAAATTAAAAAATGAATGTTGGTGGAATGCGTGTCTAATGGTCTATGCTAATTGAGCACAACCAATGTGGGGACGTTGAATACGCGCAGAGCAATGTTGTTTTATTAGGTAAATGTGAACACAATTTCAACTCAAAAACTCTCCAACTAACAACAATGAATAAGTTAAGTTTTAAATCACTGGCAAAGTGGACAGCAATGCATGCAATTTTAAATTTAAGTTTAAATTTAGGAAGCAAAGGCATCGAGAAGCAAGAATATTCAACCAAAAACATGGTATTTTTCAAATAAAAAACATGAAAAATAGTACCAATTAAAATTTTTTTTTTTTGTAGGTTACATATTTCATTATCTGTATGCATTATTTTTCTCTGTTCTCACTAGGTGCCAAGGCTATCTGGTGAAGGTGGATGGATGAACGCAGGAGAGAGAGAGAGAGAGAGAGAGCATTGACTATACATTTCTAATTGTCTAACCACCAGGTTCCTAATTTGGATGATCAACCTGGCTTGGTCACATGGGATATAAGTGGGCACTGTACAACAATCCCCTCTAACGACCAAAGGTTATGTTGGATTAATTATTTAATTCATTGCTTCATTTGTTTCAGTGCATATCTAAATAATTTATTACAACCTAGCTCTTTGGTATGATGCTTACTTTTTTATTTTATTTTAATATAAATGCCTTATAAATTTACTATAAAAAATAAAAATTAAAAAACCTAACCCTTTGGTTGTGGGCACAAAGAAGAGTTGTGAATTATCAGTGTGTATTGTGTTTTTATGCAAAAAAAATAAATAAAAATAAAATAAAAATAAAAATAAAAAAATAAAAAATTAAATTAAATAATTTATAAAGATATTTTGTTATGAAACTTTGAACTCACCAACTTGTGCATAATTGGTTTGAGTCAATATGATTATCAACCAATCTATTGTATTATGGAGGAGAAAAATTAAAATGTGATGATCTGCTGCTCTAGCTGAAAAAGTTTTCTCAACTATAATGGCTTTGAATCTTCTTAAAAAAAACGAAATTACTAAGTCTCAGTTTGCATTATGTATCTATTAATTTTGAGATGCGGTGTAGCCAGTATTATTTTAGTGATAGTGGATATTTTACAAACATGTTATTCAACATAATGGATGAGAAAAATATTTGTAAATGTAAACAGAGTTTGTTAAATTATGTAAATTTTGGTGTCTTCTTGTGCTAATTGTTTCTACCCAATATTTATTTTTCGCTCTATATTTATTTAATTTTGTTGGCAATTACATCACAAAAAAAATCCAATTACATTTTCAATTAATATTTCATTTTCAACATATATATATATATATATATATTAAAAAAACTGTTTTGGCTAGGTGCCAAGGATATCTGGTGAAGGCTATCTACAACACATCTCTAGTTGTCCATGCATATGACCAAATTGGCCTTGTAAAATATTGCCCCCGTTGTGCCTAATTTTTAGGTCGTAAATGAGAAAGTGGGATATAACTCCAGTATCAACAATATTAGAGAGCTCTAATTTTAGAACTCTAAAGAGAATTCTAAGATGTGGCAAGAGAAATAAATAAATAAATAAAACAAAACAAAACAAAAACATAGACACACATATTACATCATGTGGGCCCCACTTCTTCCACATCACTAGAGCTCCAAAATTAAAGCTCTCAATCTTTATTCCTTCAGTATGGGAGGGTTTTATTTTATGTATGTGTTGCTCTCAAAAAACTATTTATTTTTATTTCAACTATTTAATTTAAATGAGTCTTGATGTAATTAGCATTGTCTCACAAAAAATTTCAGCAACATTATTAATTGTAGAGCAATTGAGATTTTTTGGGAGTACGCTCCATTTGTTTGGGTGAAAAATAATTTGTAATGGAAAACTTTTTTTACGGACCAAATAGTTTAATTTAAAACAATAGGAATCAAAGTGAAGAATAATTGTGATCAATGGAGTGTTCCGCCTCTAGTTTACGTGGTTGGTTATGTGTACATAATGATTCCTATGAAATGACACATAATCAAATCAACACAAGAGTCAAGGACCACAAACCTACTGCAACAATGGTAGTTGCCACTAGTAGTAGACCCTTTCACAATAGGCTTGCGCCTGCCATCTGTCTCTCTAGTTCTAGAACATTAATCAAGAACTCCTTTCTTAAGCACCTATCCTCTTGCAACTTCAAAAGTGCCTGTTTCTTCTTTTTAAGATCTTCAATGGCATCATCTAGTTTCATAATGGTTAGCTGCAAAGATACCTTCTTCCAGAGATCATCATCAGTTTCTCCATCTTGTTCAATATTGGTGAGCTCTTTAGAATCTACGACTGAAAGTTGTGTTGCAATCGGGACACCCATTTTGGCAAGCTCAAGTTCTATACGAATGTCATCATCAGCTTGGAGACCAAAGTGAGTACGCACCAGTTTTGTCAAACAAGCAATGACAAACTGAATTTCAAAGCCTGCATATTGAGCAAGTGTGAAGGAGAGAAGCCAGATCAAAAATTGACTAGTAGTTATGTCCCTGATCTTGGTGCTGCACATGTCGTGTGCAGCTTCACATACTGTCATTGTGAATGACATGGTTGCCTTTGTGCCAAGTCTTGAACTCTTACTTAAGTCCCCGTATTTGGAAAGCAAGGCTTCTAGGATGGACACCCGATTCTCCAAAATCATGTAGTTTCCATCCTCAATAACCTTTGATGTGGAATCCCAATTTTCCCAAGGCAATGTGACTTCAACTTCAGAAACAAACTTTTTCATCAAGACCTTGATCATATCTATTTTGTCATACTCATCCTATCCCTGTCCTCGTATAAACATAGCAAAATCTTGCCTTTTTCTCCTTGAACACTCCCTTTGTAGGCTTCTTCAAAAAGACCTTACACTTCTTTGTTCTCATCCTCTGTAAATGAATCTAAAAATTCTTTCGACAATAGTGCACGTACCTCCTGAAAATTACAGAAAACACAAAATCAAGATGTTGACTTTTTGAATGAAAAGAAAAATGTGGACATAAACAAAAGGAAAATGAAGAAGAAGAAGAAGAGCCTGAAGAACGTAGGCACTTTCACTAGAAGGCTCAAGTAGATCTAAGATATTTGTAGATAGAACAGTTTTAAGGGCAATATCAACAAAAGCAATTTTTACCTCAACTTTTCCATGCATTGACCACTCTTCTTCTAGAATATGTATGATCAAATTACCAAGACAAAGTGAGGTCAGAATAACGGAATAAAAAAGAGCAAATAGTGAAAATTGAGATTAAATTATTAAAATAGAATTACTTCTCTACATTGTTGATGGTTCTTTTTGCAATGACAAACATAATTTTCAATTCTGCAGATTTAGCAAGAGCAAAAAAGTGAAACCAGGTCAAAAGTAGACTTGTAGTTATGTCCACAACCTTGGTGCTGCACATGCTGTATATAGCTTAGGATACCATCATGAATAATGTATTTGCCTTCGTACTAAGTTTCAATCTATTACTGAAGTCCCCATATTTTGAAAACAAGTCTTTCAGGGTAGACACTTGGTTCTTAAGAATCATGTAGTTTCCATCCTTAATAACCTTTGATGTGGAATCCCAATTTTCCCAAGGCATTGCAACTTCAACTTCAACTTCAGAAAAAAACTTTTCCATGGCCACGGCCATACATATTTTTTTGTTCTTGTCCTCATCCGCATCCTCGTATAAAGATAGAAAGATTTTTGGGAGGATGGCACCTTCTCGAACATCCCTTCTGTAAGATTCGAAAAGACCTTGCACTTCTTCATTCTCATTCTCTGTAAATGAATCTAAAATTTCTTTTAAAGTCACTACAAGTGGCCCCTGAAAAGCACTGAAAACAAATATTCAAGATGCTGACTTTTTGAATGAGTTAAGTAATAGCAAAAGCACAACCAACCAAACCAAACCAAGCCTTAAGTCCCATCAAAAGCACAAGTTCAAAGAAAATAAAAGAAAAAGGAAATGGGGATGTAAAATATAAATATTTAAAATTTTAAAAAGAGCTTGAAGAGCAATATCACTTCAAAGAGCAGATAAAACACTTCTAAGAGCAATATCAACAGAACCAATTTTTACCTCAACATTTTCATGCTTTGACCACTCTTCTTGTAGAATGTGTATGATCTAATTATCAAGATAAAGTAAAGTTAGAACAACTAAATAAACAACTGAATAGTAAAGGGCAAAAAATGAAAAATTAAATTAAATTATTAAAAAAGAATTACTTCTCCACATTGTCCATAAATCTTTTGTCTTTGAACATTCACAAGAAGTTTCATAGAAACTGTATATCTGGAGTTAATTTTTTAACTGCATCTTGACCACAAACACGTTAAATACTCGAAAGGCAAAATGTGTCCTGAACTAGAGTGTCATAAACTAATGCAATATGTTCATGCAATTTTACATGAAATTGGATTGGAACATTCGGTTTTTTTTTTTTTTTTTTTTTTTTTTTTTTTTTTTTTTTTTTTTTTTTAATGTAGTAACATTTTATTAATTAAAATAAACATTACAGATGAAAACTAAAAGATGAATATTCTTAAGCAATCAGACATTGAAAAAAGGGGCAATTTCTTAACAGTGGTACAGAGAAAAAGAATCACACAAACATGAGTCAATTCTCACAACTGACATTATCTCAAAATACATAATGATTCAAATCACAAAGTCAAATCAAAGCAAGAGTAAAGGAGGACAAACCTGTTGCAACAATGGTTGCTGCTAGTAATAGTAGAGCCTTTGCTGCACATCACAACAGGCTTGTGCCTGCCATCTGTCCCTCGAGTTCTAGAGCATCAATCAAGCACTCCTTTCTTACGCACTTCTCTTCGAGCGTCTTCAAAAGTGCCTTCTTGTTCTTTTCAAGTGCCTCTTTCTCCTTTTCAAGTGCATGTTTCTGTTTCTTCTTTCCAAGTGCCTGTTTCTTCTTTTCAATTGCTTGTTTATTATTTTCAAGCTCTTGAATAGCTTCATCCAGTTTGCTAATGGTTAGCTGCATCGAATCTACCTTCTTCCGGAGATCATCAGTTTCTCCATCTTGTTTAACAATGGCCAGTGCTTTGGAATCTATGACTGCAAGTTGCTTTGCGATCTGGACACTCAGTCCAGCAAGGTTAAGGTCTACAGGAACATCATGATCAGCTTGGAGGCCAAAGTGAGCACGCACCAGTTTGGTCAAACGGGCAATGACAAACATAATTTCAAAGTTTGCATATTGAGCAAGAGCAAAGGAGTGAAACCAAGTCAAAAGTAGACTTGTAGTTATGTCCACGACCTTGGTGTTGCACATGTTGTATACGGCTTCACATACTGTCATTATGAATAACATAATTGCCTTCGTACTAAGTCTTGATCTATTACTAAAGTCCCCATATTTTGAAAACAAGACTTTTAGGATGGACACCTGGTTCTCCAAAATCATGTAGTTTCCATCCTTAATAACCTTTGATGTGGAATCCCAATTTTCCCAAGGCATTGCAACATCAACTTCAAAAATAAGCTTTTTCATGACTCGTGCAGAGACCTTGTCTAAATGTGTGGAGCGCCTAAGCTCAGAATTCTCGATGTTTTTAAAGATGCCAGTTTTTCCTCGGACATCCCTTCTGTATGCTTCAAAAACACCTTTCACTTCTTTGTTCTCATCCTCTGAAAATGAGTCTAGAAATTCTTTCAATGTCAGTGCAGGTGGCTCCTGTAAATTACAGAAGACACAAAATCCAGATGCTGACTTTTTAGAGAATTAAGCAATAGTAGAAGCACAAGTTCAAAGAAAAGAAAAATGGGACATAAAAATAAAAAAATAAAAAAAGAAGAGCTTGAAGATTGCAGAAGAAAGATATTTGCAGATAGAATGCTTTAAGGTTGATATCAACAGAAGCAATTTTTACCTCAACATTTTCGTGCTTTGACCACTTTTCTTCAAGAATATGTATGATCTAATTGTCAACACAAAGTAAAGTTAGAGAAACTGAATAAACAACTGAATAAATGGGGGCAAACAATGAAAAAATGGAATTCAATTATTAAAACAGAATTACTTCTCTACATTGTCCATAATTCTTTTTTAAACGTCCTCATATTCGTTAAATGTAAAAGGCAGGAAATGTCAAAAACATCTTTCTAGAAGAGCTTTTGACACTTTGGACTACACTACTTTCACACTTATACCAACTCACATTATCCAGTTAAGTAACTGAGATTTGAGAGCGTTTGCCACTTTAGAAATCAGGCTGCTCATACTGTGGTGAATTAGGGAATTACTAACCTCTATGAAATGGGTGGCTATATCTTATTGAGGATGGCTGCCAACTAATGTATGATGATCATTTACTTCAATAATTAATCCTACTTTTTGATTTGTTCTATATTGGTCTTACATTGGATCTTTGATATATGACTTGAATTTCAATAGCTAAAAATTCCTGTTTTAAATCAAAAGAAAATCACGAGATCTTATTTAGTAATGACCAATCTATTCATGACATCTTATCTTAATAGGACAAATCCGTTTAGTCAACCCAATCACTGTTTCATCATTTTTAATTTGATATATAAAACTGAATGCAGACATACCTCAGATACCACGCAATGAGGATGAGCAACGTAGTGGCACTTTTCACAATAATAAGTTGCTTGTGGTAGATCCCTTCTTTTTTCGCAAGCATCACAGTAAAGCTCTGCCTCATCATCTTCATCCTGATGGTCTTTAATTGGAGAATTGGTGAAGGTAAGGCGATGGATATGATTATTGTATTTGAGGGTAGGCGGTAATGCTGAAATACAATGGACATGGTGACTGAAATTGCACCACACACAACGGAATAAAGGGCTATGGGGGCAGAACTTTGCGCAGGTCTTGCAACCCACTCGAGCAGTTTCCGCGAAGATCAAAGCAAGAGGGTGGTGGTGAATTTTAGACCTGCTCATAATAGTGGGCTTTGACAAAAAAGCACATCTAACATCCATGTACCATTCGCAGTGGGAACATTCGTAGAAAAAACCATGACAATCGCTCAAACATACCCCACATTTCAGGTTGCGTGTATTTACTTGACTATGTCGATGATGGTAGTGGAGGGTGAGAGTGTGGTGAGGATGAAGGAGGTGCTCGATTTCTGGGGGCAAATTAGCACACGACTCGTGAAGCAGGGCACAGCATTCAGGGCAAAAATAAATAGAATCGTTCAAGGGCCGCCAACAAGCATAGCAGGTATAAGAATGAATAAGATTCTCATTTTTATTATTATTGTGGCACAAAAACAAGGGATGGGAGTGCTTGAATTGTTCAATATGAGTATGACCATGTTCAGGTATCAAACAAGCACAATGAACATCTACCACAAACTTGCACTTAAAACAATGGTAGGCGAAACCGTGCCGCCTCTGGCAACAGACGCTGCAGATGAACTCTCGGTCATATGAGCCAGGCCGAGAGCGGAGGACGAGAGGATGCGAGGAGTGAAATGGGTGTTTAATTTCCCATGGCAACTCTAAGCATGAATTGTGCAACAAACCCTTACACTGTAAACATACATAGACACAATCTTCATTAATAACCAAGTCACAGCAAGTGCACTTATAAATCAAATTCTGATCCTTATGACACAATATAAAGGGATGTGGGTGATTGGGTTGGTCGTTCTGGTGCTGAAATTGAAATTGAATCTTCTTGTTGTGGTGGTTGTTTTTGGTGGCGATTGCGGTGGGGGTTGGGGTGAGGAGAGCGCACTTGACATGGAGGGCAAAATCAGAGGCGAGACATCTGTAGATGAAGAAGTCTCTTCCGTAACAATTGCCACCACAAGCGTAGCAAAAGTGGGATGGAAGGAGTTTATCGGAAAGGTAAAGGGTGTGGTGAGGGTGGGGTTGAAAGGGGTGGTGATCGAATTGGAGTGGAATTTGAGAACAGGAATGGGTGTGGATGCGTATATCAGGGCACTTACTACAACGATAGTATTGCCAATCAGTGATTGGTTCTCGGCATACCCTGCACTTACCTTTACACTTCTCCTCTGCCTTATCATTGAGTTCCAATGTATGCTCGTGTAAGAAATGCTTACTCAACGTCTTCTTCATCACCGCTCACCTCTCTCCTCTCCTCTCTCTCTCTCTCTCTCTCTCACAAACTCAGAAGAATCACAGTGCTGCAGTTTGGCCTCCGACTTTTCAAATTTTGCATACCTTGAATTGAAAAAGAAAAATGCTTGGGACTAATTAGTGCTCCCACTAATTAGGTGGCAGTGGTCCCGTCATTAATGATGTGATGTTTTGGTCTTGGACTCGGCATACCCTGCACTTACCTTTACACTTCTCCTCTGCCTTATCATTGAGTTCCAATGTATGCTCGTGTAAGAAATGCTTACTCAACGTCTTCTTCATCACCGCTCACCTCTCTCCTCTCCTCTCTCTCTCTCACAAACTCAGAAGAATCACAGTGCTGCAGTTTGGCCTCCGACTTTTCAAATTTTGCATACCTTGAATTGAAAAAAGCTACGAACCAGACCCAAAATCTGTCCAGAAGAAAATTTTGTAGTTTAGATTTTATTACATTGTGGCTCATGACCTGAATAAACCTAGACCACATGTTAATGTTTTTTTTCTGGGGAAAAATTCTGGTAATGTTTTTTTTTTTTTTAAAAAAAAAAAAATTAACCTAAAATAATAGAATATATCTACGCAACTAAATAGATGAAAAATATAATAAATTAGAAAAAAACTAAGTATTAGTTTTTTTTTTTTTTGTATTATATATATATATATATATAAACTAAAAGAAATAAATAAATAAAAATGACATTAAAAAAAATTAACTACTAAACAACAGTACAAAATTTTTTTTTTTTTTTGGAAGTAACTAATGACTAAATAATTAAACTAACAGACCTAAACTGATTAAATAACCTAAACTATCAAGTAAAAAAAATGAAGTAAGAAAATAAAATAACAAAAAAATAAGATAAACTAAACTATAAAACAAAATAAACTAAACTAAACTATAAAATAAAATAAACTAAATTAAACTATAAAATAACTAAACTATGAAATAAACTAAACTATAGAATAAACTAAACTAAACTAAACCCTCTTTTTTTTTCTTTTTTTTTTAATGCAAAGGTACCGCACGTGCGCCGGATTAGGCTAAACGTGCGGCTGTCATCTCCTTGCTACGCAGTTTTTTTTTTTTTTTTTTGTATGAACAAACTTGGTGAAGTATGAACCGTAGATCAACAACAAACAAAAACAAAAAATCTACAAATTTATTCTTACGCCCACAAATCTATACAAAAAGGAATAGTTACCTTAAAAGAGTGGAAAAAGAGGGAGAAAGAAGGACGATTCACTGGAAAAAATGGTGGTCGTCGAAAATTTGACGGACGAAGAGGAAATAGTGATGTCGGCGGTGAGATTGTGGTGAGGAAGAAGGAAGGAGTGTTGAGAAGGAAAAAGAAGAAAGAAGAAGATGGTGATGGTGGGGGTGTAGAAGTTTGTGGGTTATAGGGTTGAGAGAGAGAGAGAAAGATAGATAGAGATAAATGATGAGAGGTAGACAGAGAGAGGCAGAGAGAGAGAGAAAAAAAATCTGTGAAGTGGGTTAGGTTGAAAAGTGGGTCTAGATATAAAATATTAATATTTTTTTTTTTTTGATTTTTTTTTTCAAACACGAAAATAGAATAAATAAATAAATAAAAATTGCAATTTTTTTTTTGAAAATAAAAATAAATAAAGAAATAAACTAGTATATTTATTTATTTTTATTTAAAATTTATTTATTTATTTATTTATTTACTTTTTTTAATATATTAAAAATAATAATAAATAAATATAACAAAATCTGCCTAATTTTTTTTTTTTAGAAAGTCGCAGCACGTGCAAGAGTGTACGCCGCATGTACAGCAGCGGTCTGTGTCTATTTGCTATTAGTGTGTGCAGGATATGAGTAGATGAATATCCACCCGAGCCTCCAAAAAAGCCAGAGGTTCTACTTCCTCGGCGCCACCGTTGCCACCGTCACCACTGTCCTCACCACCACCATCGGGTGACTTGCCATAGCCGGAGTGGGCTTCACTCCCGCTTCACAAGCTCACGCAGTTCAATATTTCATATTTTTCATGTGACCCGGCCACTTCTTGGGCCGTTAAACAGCTCGAACTCTGGCAACAGTTGGGCCTTTGCAATGTGACAGCGCTAACTTATCCGCGTCTGGTACAGCTTTTCTACCAGAACTTGTATGAGTCACTCACCGAGCCCAGGCTAATTTCCACCATTGATGCCCATCTCGTCAGCATCACCGAACCCATAATTGCTAACGCGTTAGGGTTCTTCTCCAAGCCAAACTACTAGCCCTTCCCGGAAGTTGAGGACCAACAATCCATACATAGTCTCATTCAACAGCACTTCCCGGGGGCCCACGGTGACGCCAGTTTCTCATGCTTGCGGCACAGCAAGCTGCCTGGCCGCTTGCTATTCATTGATTCCGTGGTCTATAAGAATGCCCTTCCACTTGGGCATAAAGCTGAGCATTGTTTGGAGTTTGTTCGGGTCTTACACGGTTATCAGCATGGCTATCAGGTGTCGCTTGAGCATATCATCTGGATGCATGTGTGAAAATTTTTATGAGAGCCAGTTCGTCCTCAACCTATGTAGAACCTGACTTGGCCAGTGCCATTTGCCAATTTGTTAACACTTGTCTTTAAGCTGAACGGTCTCCTCATTGCTTCGACTGAGGAGATTGATCAAGCTTATCCGACTTTCAGGTAGCGGGAATGGTAGCATAGCATATCTCACTTTTCGCAGCAGGTTGGTGCCCCAGATGATGAGACCCAAGACCTCGTCCCCAACCACCCGTCTCATCCTACCCCCCCTATGCCTCCCCAAGGGGACCCATTCTACATGACTCGCGAGGAGTACCTACAGCTTCAGCACTCTGTGGATCAGGTCCACAACACTCTTCGTGATCACCAACAAAGTCTCATGGGGTTGCGCACGGATTTTCAGGAGTATCAAGACTATTCTCAAGCGGCCTTCGACCAGCTACACGCCTGCCAGCTCGACATTCAGCAGTCAGTTGCATCACTGCAAACTGACTTTTATACATATCGAAAGTCGAGCCAGCAGCGTGTCGATCAGCTTGGCCAACAGGTTCAGGATGAAGCCTTTGAGACGCGATCTTTGATGAACGCCTTGTTTGCCCGCATTTCCCACCACCACCGCCACCAGATTCTCTCTAGTCCCAGCCTATATTCTGCTTTTTCTTTTCTTTTCTTTTCTTTTTATTTTTCTTTTTAGTTATTTCTTCTTTTCGAAAAAAAAAAATTAATTTGTGAAGCGTGTGAGTGTGTTACTATATGCCTACGTGGATGTGCACCTATAATCTCTGGTAATCTTCTCTCATTTCTCTTTACTTTTCCATTGAGGACAATGTCATATTCAAGTTGGAGGATGAGAGTTGTATTTTCTTTTGTGCATTTCTATTTGGCTCATAATTCATACTTATACATGTGTCACTGGATTGCATTACTTCACTTGATGCGACTTGTTGCTAGTAGGATGATGATATTTGCATATGTTAATTGGAGAGCATAGTAGACTTGTATGAAAAGGGTTTATTGGTTCGATACTTGCATGCGATGTTTGCACGAAGAGAGTTGTTTGTGTTTGTGGTATTAGTACACTTGTCATAAGTATGCCTTAATTCACATGAACACACTATCATAGCGGTGATCTTTTTATTATAATCCCTGGTGTACATCATTGATAATGGCTAGAGTTGCAGAAAAGAATAAATGAGGAGCCAAGATTCTTAAACGAAGAAAAAAAATAAATAAAAAAAGCCTTGACTTGTTTGGATTCGTAACCTTTTTAACTCGAGTTATTAAGCCCGTAGGGGTATCTCTACACCTAGTGCCCTAAAACCGTCTGGTTTGGGAGTCATTGGCCCAATACTTGCTATATGGGTTAATTAGAAAGCTTAAGGGTCTTAGACATTGCACAGTTCAGAAAAAAAATAAGAAGAATGACTTATTCGGATTCGTAGCCTTTTCAACTCGAGTTATTAAGCCCGTAGGGGTGTCTTCACACCTAGTGCCCCAAAACCATCTGGTTTAGGAGTCATTGGCCCAATGCTTGCTACATGGGTTGATTAGAAAGCTTAATGGATCAGGACATTGCACAGTCATTAAAAAAAAAAACAAAAAAAAAAACTTTTGAGAATCTTGGCTGTAACAGTTTAGTTTTTCTGTATATGTTGGGTATTATTATGAGTTATACTGGGCTATTATAGTGGACAGTTAACTAATATGGAGATTGCACTTTACACCGAGGGTACTCATGATTTGTCTACTAGCATGCACAAGTATAGGGGACTTTACTTTTGTATTAACTCAATTGTGGTTTTGACTCAATAAGTTCCTTCATGCTTGTCCACTGTGCCTTTAATGACTCATTATGTCTCAATATCACACTGTACTGACACATAAGTTGATTGTTAGGTGGAGTAGTATGGTCAATTGTTGTTGAGTATATATGAATATGTTAATGTTTGTGGGTATTATTTCTGGAAACCCTCACGAGACTTTACTCGTCCACTTGGGGAAATTTTGTAGTTTAAAGGCTTGTTGCATATGCTAAATGCAACCGTTTTCCCACGAAAGAGGAAATAACTAGATTTTATTTTGTTTTATTTTATTTTTATTACTTGCTTGAGGACTAGCAAGTTGTAAGTTAGGGGATGTGATTAAGGCCGAATTGTGCAACATTGAGGCCGTTAATTAGGATCTCTTGAACTTTACTTGCTTGTCAAACTGTATACTTTATGTGTGTTTAATGTCAATCAGGTTGTACATAGTCGGAGTATAAAATAGGCAAAAAGACAGAATTTGGAGCGAAAACAAATTCCCGCACGTGCGTTGACTTTTTTGGGAAAACGTGCCCAATGTTTTAAACCTGTTTGGAAGAGAGCAGAAGCATAAATAGGTAAGAAAAAGGCTGGATTAGGGTTCTGAAATTGTTTTAGCAAGGAAAGAAAGGCTAGGGTTCCAGGAGGTGATTTTCTCCAAAAAACTTGAAGGACACTTCCATGGGGTCTTCTTCCTTTTCCCACTCCTCCATGAGTGGCTAGTCGTCTTTTCTAGGGTTTTGATGAAACCCCAGCCATGTAATTAGTTTTTCTTTTTGATTTTTAATTGTGTAAAGGTTTGAACAATTGTATGGTGTTTTAGAAGTTTCATATATTTAATTTCCATTATTTCTTCAAGTATTCAACTTTTTGTGATTGTTGAATGTCTTCCATACAAGAGTTTTCTATTCTTTCACATTCAAGGTATGAGACAAACCATACTACAAGGGACAAGCCGTGTGACTACCCTAGTTTAGAGTGAACAATTCGTACTACTTGAGATGGTTCGTGCTTATACATTGAACATGATGATTTTCTTGTTAAATGCTTTGAACTTGTAATTGCGAAGCATTATTTCGTTCGAACCATAACATAATTGATTTCAATTGGAAACCCTATTTAAGTGACTAGTGGTGGACTCTTCGCCCTAGGTTTTTCCCCAAATCAGTAAATCTAATTTTATTTATAATCGATAATTTAATTACTTAGTTTAATTTATTTGTTATTAAAATTAGGTTATGAACAATCAATTTTTTTATCAAAATTAATTTAGGAATTTAATAATTAAATTAGTTTAATTTCACAATTGTCTCTGTGGATCGATACCTAGACTTACTATTATTTTAAAAGAATTTGGTATAGTTTTGTGTTTAATTTTGGTGTGTGTAACGACCCATTAAATTTTGTTTTTTTAACCCAACTTGTACCTTAAATTACAATCAAAATAAGAAAATTTATGAACATAAATAAATGGTTCAATAAATGTATAATCTTCACGTGAAAACCACGGGTACTACTTTTCTCCCTAATTGTGTTTGTAACTTTCCCTATTCTCCAACAGGGTGATAGACTAGGTTATTCGGTATCCAGAATCGAGGCGCATAAAGCTACCTCAACCTGTGGGGCTGCCATACAGAGTTCAAGCCGGGGTAGTTGTGAAGCAATCTTTACACCCCTGGGTATTTAAACCAGTCTCTAGTTTCGGAAATTCCAAACCTTTGTGTTCTAGGCTTTGCCATTCGAACTCTAATTTCTACCGTCTCAGTTGGTCTCCTAGGAACTCACTACAAACACGGTTAGGTGGCTATACCAGACCGTCAGATGCCATTCGGGCACGACTAACACCAAAGAAATTACACCTTTAGAGGATTTAAAGTCTCCTAGATATAAATAAAGCACAACGAGAACAAAGAAAAACATAATAGAATAGAAGGGAAAGAAAAAAGAACAAGAAATCAATCTATCAATCATGGTAAAAAGGGTCCATCAAAGCAATGGACTCAATTATGTCCCCATTCCTAATCCCCTCTATATATGACTTCAGTCTTTGGACATTCACTTTGAAAGTGTAGCTAGTCTTTGGATCTTGCACCTCAACGGCACCATGAATAAATGCCTCAACAACCACAAAGGGACCATCCCATCTTGATCTAAGCTTACCCGGAAAGAGTCTCAATT